ACTTCTATCAAAATCTTGGGATTTACGTTGGAAAATTAAGAATAATCGAGACTCTGGACGAAAACTTAGGTTTTCTTAAGCATCGCCTAAGGTGTACTCTCCCCTGAGCCCCCAGGCCTGGACACGGCGGCCGGAGGTGCCACCAGCGACAGCTCGGAACGACACCAGTGTGATGACGGCCTTCGCGGGCCTGACTGCGCCCCGGCAGGTCCTGGGACCCCCCGGATTTGAGGGATGAAAAAACGACCCTACCCTGGATTACAAGTGCGTGGTCTGTAAACCTCCTGGGAACCCCCAACGCCTAGAGCCGCCAGGACGCGGCACATCACGCAGGGTTTACCCTGTCAGCCCACAGGAGGTTCAGAGCACAGCGCCTCGTAAAGCAGGGTAGGGGCGTTTTTTCTGCCCTTGACGGATAATGATTGCCTTCGAGGGCCCGACTGAACAGTGGGAGGTCCCCTTGGCGCCCCGGAGCGGACGAGGACGGAGGACGCCTGGGGAGGAGAAGACAGTCGGGAAGGAGAAAAGACGAGGAGGGACCGCAGCGAACGTGCAGATTCAACGCGGGGTGGATCGTGTGCATGACGCGGACAATGCGCGCGATGGCACTGTCCAAACCGCCGCAACGCAGCCCGCCGCAGGCGCCAGTTTTTTCCAATCGTGTTGTCGAATGAGCATGTGTGTTCATGTGTGTCGCCAGTGGTCGCATGTGTCGCGCGTGGCAGCGCTGTCCCCAACCAATGCAATGCAGCACGCCGCAGGCGCGAAATTTCCCCCTCCATCTCCTCCTCCTTCTCGTCCTCCTCCTCCCTCCTTCCCCTCCCCCCCTTCCCTCTCTTCCTCATCCTCTTCCTCCTCTTTCTCCTCCTCCACCTCCTCGTCATCCTTGTCCTCCCCCTCCTCTTCCTCGTCCATTTCCTCCTCCTCCTCCCCCTCGTCCTCGTCTTCGTCCTCGTCCTCCTTGTCCTCCTCGTCCCCGTCCTTGTCCTCGTCCTCGTCCTCGTCCTCGTCCTCGTCCTCGTCCTCGACCTCCCCCTCCTCCTCCTCCTCCTCCTCCTCCTCCTCCTCCTCCTCCTCTTCGTCCTCGTCCTCGTCCTCGTCCTCGTCCTCGTCCTGCTCCTGTCATCGTCTCGTCCTCGTCCTCTTCCTCCTCCTCGTCCTCGTCCTCGTCCTCGTCCTCATCTCCTCTCCTTCTCCTCCTCTCCCTCTCCTCCTCCTCCTCCTCCCCCTCCTCCTCCTCCTCCTCCTCCTCCTCATCCTCCTCCTCCTCGTCTCCTCCCTCCTCGTCCTCCTCGTCATCCTCGTCTCCTCGTCCTCCCCGTCCTCCTCGTCTGCTCGTCCTGCTCGTCCCCTCCTCCTCTCCTCCCCTCCTCCTCCTCCTCGTCCTCCTCGTCCTCCTCCCCTCGTCCTCCTTCTCCTCCTCCTCCTCCCTCTCCTCCTCCTCTCTCCTCCTCCTCCTCCTCCTCCTCCTCCTCTCCTCCTCCTCCTCCTCCCCCCCCTCTCCGGACATTCAACGTGCCATCTGAGGGGGGGCGACGAGCCCGCCGGCGCATCGCCTGTGCCCTCCTGCAGGCCCACGCATCAACTCTCGACTCTCGGACGCCGCCACTTCAGGGGCCCAAGGGCACACAAATTCGCCGGCCCAACGGGCCAGAGGCGTGCTAAGATCTCCGGTACCCCTCCTGCCCCAAGAGGCCCCCAAGAGCCCCCCAAGAGGCCCTGGGGGCCCCCAAGACGCCGCCAAGGAGCCCCAAGAGACTTCCAAGAGGTCCCCAAGAGACCCCCAAGAGGCCTTAAAGAGGGCTCCAGGGCCGGCGGAATGAGCGAAGCGATAAAATAACTAGAAACAGATCCCAAGATTCCCCCTATACTTGTCCAATATTTTCTTGAGTTTCGTCTCCCCCCCACTTCCCAAATGTTCGACGATTCTTTGTGCCTGTGTCCTCTTCCCTCCTGAGCCAGTGGGTCCGAGGTGCCCCCCAAGACAGCTCCCAACGAACGACTCCTAAGGTCTTTGCTGGACGCTGAGCAAACTTCAGCGCCGGAGCGGCGGCGTTCTGCAAGAATTGCCCGCTTCCTGCTCCTCCTCCGCCGCCGCCTCCTCCTCCTCCTCCTCCCCGCATCCTCCTCCTCTCCTCCTCCTCCCTCCTCCTCATCCTCCTCCTCCTCCTCCTCCTCCTCCTCCTCCTCCTCCTCCCCCTCCTCCTCCTCCTCCTCCTCCTCCTCCTCCTCCTCCTCCTCCTCCTCCTCCTCCTCCTCCTCATCCTCCTCCTCCTCCTCCTCCTCCTCCTCCTCCCCTCCCTCCTCCTCCTCCGCCTCCTCCTCCTCCTCCTCCTACCTCCGCCTCCTCCTCCTCATCCTCCTCCTCCTCATCCTTGTGACCTCCTCCTCGTGTCCTCCTCCTCCTCAGTCAGGAGGCTTCAGGGCGTTGTGACCAAGCGGCTGGCACCTCGAGTCCTCAGGGCCACGGACGGCCCTCTGACAGGCCCAAGTTCAACGACAAAACCATTATTTCAATGAGGTTTGTCTTGTCGGCTTCTCTTTTACGATGGGCTTCTTCTGAAGCCTCAAGATACACGTCGGTCGGAAGAAGTAGGTAGAAACATGAAGTAGGAAGGCGGATAAAGTGGATTGGACCCAGGCACACCCAGAGAACAACAAAACACAGCAAAAGCGTGCCGATTCTTGAGGTAGGAAGGCGCTTGAAGTAGATTGGGATCTGGGCATCCAAAAATACCTACTTTCAGCGACCGGCGTGCATTTCAGTGAGGTTTGCCTTGTCGGCTTCTCGTTTTCGATGGGCTTCTTCTGAAGCCTCGAGGTAATTTCAAGATCACCAGCGAGCGCCAAGAGGGTCCGTGCAAGACCGCCTACGTCATCCTTGGGCTAAGCGCGGGGATGCTAATCTTGGCGCTCTGCTTTTGGGACTGACGGCTTCCTGGATGACTCCAAGAGGGTCTCCGCGAACCCAAAGGACTCCACAGGAACCCCGAGGAAAGGCCTCCGTTTTCCCACAAGTCCTGTGGCTATGGGTCCTCATTTGTATCAGCAGCGCCCCGCGTCCATTCCTTCTCCTCCTCCTCCTCCTCCTTCTTCTCCCCCTCCTCTCCCCTCATCCTCCTCCTCCTCCTCCTCCTTTTCCTCCCCCTCCTCCTCCTCTCTCCTCCTCCTCCTCCTCCTCCTCCTCCGGCTCCTGTCCCCTCCTCGTCGTTATGTCAGCTCACTCCTCACACGTGCGTGGCGGCCCCGCGCCATTTCGGGGCACACCTCTCCCACCATGGCCCAATAGGAAGCTCCACCGAAAGCCCCAGCTGCAGGGTTTGCATGGCGGACCCGTGCCAATTCAGCGCACCCCTCACGCGTTTCGTGGCCCCATAGGGTGCTCCACCGAAAGCCCCAGGTGGCCCCGCCTCATTTCGGCACACCTCTCCCACGTTTCGCGGCCCTATAGTCTCCACCAAAGGCCACAGTGGGAAAGATCGCATGGCGGCCCCGCCCCATTTGGGCACACCGCTCGCACGCTTCGTGGCCCCATTGGGAGCTTCTCCGAAAGCGGGACCCACAATGCGGTACTCATAACTGCATATGCTTCGGTCCTTCGCCAAGCTAGCTAGCTGACGTTTTTGGCCCTTGTGTTCCACTGAACTGAAGTGGATACGGGAAGCGCGGCGAATTACATTTGCCTATACACCTCTCGGCGGTGCGCGAAATGACGTAAGCCTCTTGATTGACACGACATCGATGTACTGACTACTTGCGGCACCTGACAAACTCGCGCCGCAGACCTGGGCTCGCTTTTGCCACCGACTGCGACAACCATTCCCTCGATCTTGCTCGTGACGGTGCCCCCGCTCTCGCCAACACCAAACACGCCGAAGGGCAGCACGCTCACGACTCGCGCGACATTTTCATTCGGCCGTTCTGGCAAGCACCTGCGTCCGGGCTCATGGCAAGCACTAAATCATATAATGTCACGCCGCGGGCGCCAGCCCGTTTCGCCGATTCCGTCATGCTCACCTTCCACGTCGGGCTTGCGATGCCCTGAATTCTAGGCTCACCCTACTGATGAGCTGTCGCTCGCGAGATTCGGCGCAGTGAAATGCCAGGAGGATCGTTATGGGAGGGAGGGAGGGAGGCATCCTGGGCTGCTTTTTGACGGCTTTGGGGGCATCCTGTGCCCTGATGGGCTGCCCGAGGAGCCTCCTGGGGCCCCCAGCCCTGATGATTCGGGAGGGTTGGGATAACTGCGGTCCGCGGCAAGTCAAGTTTGGGCCCCGAGAGGCGCGAATCTGCAGCTATCCCTGACCGCCCCCAGCCTTGATGATTCGGGGGTCTGATAGATGCCGCGAAAGCCGACGAACAGCGGAGCCGAGGCCCTCCCGGCAAGGGAGGGGACAGACCTGATGCTGCTGGCTGCCCCCTGCAGAAGCGCACCCTGCCAACCAAATCCGACTGCGCGATCATGCCGCTTGCGTCGAATTCGAGACCGGGGTGCTGGAAGAGAAGAAGAAAAAACGCCATAAGCATAAACTTTCGGCGCTCCGCGCGGATTTCTTGGATCTGCGCCGGACCCTCCTCCCTGGCGCGCGGAGCGCGCCAGGGGCAGCGCTGGAGTGGAGGCGCCGTCAGGGGAAGCCTGGCGCGGAGCCAAGAGATCCACGCGGAGCGCCAAAAGCTTATGTGTATGGCGGTTTTCCATCTTCGAATCATGCCGCTTGCGGCGAATTCGAGACCGGGGTGCTGAAGATGCTGTACATTGAGCAGGGGCTGACCGTCCCGGCATTCCCTTAGGCCGACCTCGACCTGCTCTTAGAACTGAGAAATGTTCTAAGAACAAACAGTGCTCTTAGAACGTGAGCCCGATGTGCTAAAGCAAGACGGCCCTGGCCAGACATGTTCTCAGAACATGCCGTGAAGACCACACGAGTTTCTCAGAACATTCTATGGTTAGATTTGGGACCAGGGCAAAAACAGAATTTCACCTCCCAGGATCTGCATCCGAACTATGGTGGGCCTATAGGCGAGCCAGGACGCTTCGCCACTGCTTGAGCTGTGCACGCGCAGTGCTGGCAGAGTCGTTGGCAATCGGGGCACCTCCGCGGCGCGGGCGCGGCCGCGCCCTGCCACCGCGGGGCGCGTTCCCTGCGTGGCCCCTCTGGGAGGGGCATAGCGGAGGCTGTCGGGGACGGCCAGGAACAGAAGTCAAAACGCGGGCGTTGGCAGGACTGGGCTTAGTGGGACCTGGTTCAGTGATGTGCACTGGGGGACGCCCCCTCCGCCCCATTCCACTAACCGGAACTGCCGTCGTCCGGAAAACACCAGCTACGGAAGACCTGGTTTAGTGATTCCAATCCATATTTGGGCTTCGGGGCCCAATCACTAAACGGCTCCCCTTAACCGGGGTCCTGGCTATACACGAAAAACATCCACCCCCATAATAACCACCCCGACATGCGAAGCCGTCTGGTAAACGCGCCCAACGAAGGAATCGAACCGGGCGCGGGGCTGTCTAGTAAACGCCAAGGGCCGTTTAGTAAACGCAAATTGTCCGGTCTAGGTGGTTTTTCCTCCCTTGAAAAAGGGGGGCATCCAAGAGGGGGGGGCGCACATGATGGCCGGCGGCATGTGCGCGGCCCAGGGGGGACCCTCCTCCGAATACCTACCAGACCACCCCAACCCAACCCCAAGACCCGAATTTCGGGTTGGGGGGGGTACGGGTTCCATATGTGTTTCTCGATGTTTCCCGACCCCCCCCCAACTGGAAATGCAGGGCAAATTGAGGCCTTCGGGTTGGGTTGGGGTGGTGTGGTGGGTGGTGATCCTCTTTGCCGCCCCCGAGGTTGGGGGGTGAGCTCGAACAAAAAGAACGGACAGGCACCCCACCGGGGAGTCGGTTTCGGCTTCGTGTTCGTGGGCGAGGCGAAGCTGCGTGGGCGCCATGATCCCAGCTGGGGCGATTCGGGTGCAAAAGTCCGGTCCTCCGGTGGGCGCGCGGTGGCTGGGGGTTTCCCGCCGCGGTGTCTCGCGGTGTCCAGATGGTGTCCCGCGGTGTCTCGCAGTTGGCGCGCGAGAGGAATGATCCCGCCGTCGCCAAGGCGATTCGGTGCAAAAGTCCAGCCCTCCGGCTGGCGCGCGTGGCTGAGGGTGTCCCGCCGTGGTATCCCGCGTTGTCCCGATGGTGTCCCGCCGTGGTGTCCCGATGGTGTCTCGTGGTGCCCCGATGGTGTCCCGTGGTGTCTTGTGGTGTCCCGGTGGTGTCCCGCGGTATCCCGCAGTGTCCAGCGGTGTCCCGCGGTGTCCCGCCGTGTCCCGCCATGGTGTCCCGCCATGGTGTCCCAATGGTGTCCCGATCGATAGAGAGATCGATCGTGTTATCGATAACGACCGAGATGTGGTGAGGTCGGTAGTGAGATCGACAGTTGGATCGATAGTGAGTTTGATAATGAGATCGGTAGCTGCATCGATCGTGCGAGCGGCACCGAATGGATAGTGAGATCGATAGTTGCATCGGCAGTGAGGTCGACGGTGCGATCGATTGCGAGATCGACAGTGAGATCGATAGTGGGATCGATTCTGAGTTCGATTGAGATCGCTAATGGGATCGATCGCTGGATCCATCGTACTCAGACTGGCCGTGAGGTCGATAGTGAGATCGATCGAGTGAGATCGATAGCGGGGTCGATAGTGACACCACATCGCGGCGCGCCACCAGCATCGTCATCACCACACCCATCGCAGTTGCCAGCAATTGGTTCTTTCCCCTCTCCCCAGTCTCCTTGTCACCCGAAGGGTGATCGCATAGGTAGGGGCTGACAGAAACGGCGGGGGAGAGCCAGACCCAAAACACTCTGCTGGATCTGTGCGACTGTTGGTTGTGGCCTGCCCAGGGGATTCCTCTTTTCTAGAGGCCTCCCAAATGGGGTCTGAGTAGATGGGGTCGGAGGATTGCACTGGATCGCCGATATATCGCCGATGCATCGGCGACGTCGGCGATGTGGCGAAATCGGGCTCCCCATCGAGCCGCATCGGCGATGCATCGGCGATGCGGCGAGATCCTCCGACCCCATCTACTCGGACCCCATCTGGGAGGCCCAGATCTTCTTGGCGGCGCGCAGGGAGCGGGTATATATAGAGGTAGGGGGGACGGCGTCTCGGCAGGAGGCCGCTTCTTCGCAGGCGCCCGCCTTGCGCCTGGGGACGGGGCCCGCGTCTTCTGAGAAGCAGGTGCCCGCGTCTTCTGAGAAGCCTGCACGAAGGATTGCAAAAAAACCCTTCGTTCAAGACAGGGTTTTTTTGCAATCTTTTGCAATCCTTTGCACGAAGGATTGCAATCCTTCGTTCAAGACAGGGCCCGCGTCTCCGCCTCCCCCTACCCCCCCCCCTCCCCCTCTGCGCGTGGCCGACTCTCTCCAGTGCCCACCCAGGCCCCCGCGACTTCGCGCCACCTCGCGCCCCGCGAGGCGCGCGGGCATTCATCGCGCCCTGGCGCCGATCCGGCCCCCTCGCTGCCCATCCCTCTCCCGGCACCCCTCGTGTGTTACACTCGGGTCGGGCGAAAGGGGGGGATAGCAAAGGGGGGGATTGAGAATCAGCTCACGTAGCTGATTTTCCCGGCGCCTCCCGACGCCAGAGGCGGCTATGTATCGAGGCGCCGGAGGCCGAAACCAGCTGCATGCAGCAAATTTCGTAACCCCCCCTTTCCCAATCCCCCCCTTTCGCCCGGCCCGATACACGTCGGGCCTGGGACAGAAACACACCCCTCAAGAGCGCGAGACCCTCCGCCGGCCAAAGCTCTTCGAGGTCCCTCCCCCAGGATGCACAGGAGCATTCAACAAGCGCTAAGAGCTTCAGGGTGCCCCCTCCGAACCCTCGATAAGGCCGTACTGATCTCACTCGCACGTCCTCATCTGCTCTCTATCTCGTCTCCATCTTCGTCACCCTCCCGTCACTCTCATGTCGTACAACCAAACCGTGAATTAAGGACGGGTGGTAAGGACGCAAGACCCTTGGAGGCCGAAGTTTGTTTTTTTCGGGCGGCGGGCGACCAAAACCCCAGGGACGCAAGTGTACCCTTATCCAGGGAGAGGCCAGGAAAAACGGCAAAGGACGGGCCGCAGAGGCAAGGACACAGGGGTGCCCTAGATGAAGGCGCTCGTCCTTAGTGGGCGCGTCGACTGTACTCGTCTCCCTTACACGTCCTCATCTTCTCTCTATCTCGTCTTCATCTTCGTCATGACCGTCCGCGCTCTCGCATCACCCTCATCGGTACACGATTCGAAAGGACCTCCAACTCTCGAAGGGCCCCCTAAGGGCTCCCACCGAGGGGGCTTATTCAGAACAATGTCAACATGCAGTGAGAGCACCCGTGAATTGATTCTCCCCTCTTCCAGTGAAGAAAGGGGGTCGGAACCGAGCGGCCGCCAGTTCTACGCAGCGCAAGTACGATGGAGCGCAGAGGGGTCCCACCAAGTGAGCTGAATCTGAGCGACGCTCGATTGACCCCGTGGAGGCAGGGGTAAGATGGGCCTACCACTCGCTCTCCCAGACGGGCGGACAGTGGGGGGCGGGGGCGAATACATGCAGCTGTTCGACAGCCCCCCCCTCCTTCCTCTCCCACATCCACCTCCCCCTCGCCGCCGCTCGGGCCCAAAACGAGCGGCGGTTGCTCCCGTGGGAGGGGGGGGCACTGGCTCCCAGCCTGCCCTCCCCCCCACCCCCTCCTCCTCCTCCTCCTCCTCCTCCTCCTCCTCCTCCTCCTCCTCCTGCTCCTCCTCCTCCTCCTCCTCCTCCTCCTCCTCCTCCTCCTACCCGACTAGGACGCTGTATGGAAACAGGTGCAAGCACGCGAGGTGGACGCCCCCCTCGCCGTCTCAACGGGCGCAGGCCACCTCTGAGCGGCCACCCGCTCCGCCTCCTCCTCCTCCTCCTCCTCCTCCTCCTCGACGTCCTCCTGCCCCCACCCCCCCGACGAGGTCCGCCCGGGGGCCTTTTCCTCCTCTTTCTCCTCCTCCTCCTCCTCCTCCTCCTCCTCCTCCTCTTCCGTCTCCTCCTCCTCCTCCGCCTCTTCCGTCTCCTCCACAAAACCTCCCACCCCTCGTCCTGACCTCTGGCAAACTCCTCTCTGCCACCACGCCAGCAGCCAAGGGCCATCTGGGTGGGACCTGTGGGACCAGTGGCCCCCGGAACTCGTGGGACCTGTGGGGCCTGTAGGACCTGTGAAACCTTTGGGGACCCGTGGGACGTGTGCGGCCTGTGGGGTTTGTTGTACTCCTGTGGGACCTGTGGGACCTGCGAGCCCTGTAGGACGTGGGACCTGCGGCGCCTGCAGGACCCGTGGGGCCGGTGGGACCTGCGGGGTCCGTGGCACCTGTGGGACTTGTGGGGCCGGAACGACCTGTGGGACCGGTGGGACCTGTGAGACTTGTGAGACCAACGAGACCTGTGGGACTTGTGAAACCTATGGACCTTTGGGGCCAGTGAACCCTGTGGGACCAGTGGGACCTCTGGGAACAGTGGGGCCCGCGGGTCTCCGGCTCGACACTTCCTCGAGATCCAGGTTGCCAAGTGCGAGACTGTCAGTGCTTTGACATGTATCCCGATGGCCGCCTCGGATTGGCACCTTGAAGTGCAAGACCCAGAAGGAAGCGGATCCCGCTCAAGATTTCCTCGAGATCCAGGTTTCCAAGTGTGACAGCCTTGTGTTTTTTACACGTATTCCAATGGACGCCTTGGATCAGTGACATGAAATGCAGGCCACACAGGGAGGGGGCTCCCGCACGAGACTTCCTCGAGATCCAGGTTGCCAAGTGCTAGAAGTTCTGTTTTACAAGTATCCCGATGGCCGCCTCGGATTAGCGACGTGAAGTGTGGCCCCATAGGGAGGAGACTTCCGCCCGAGACTTCTCCGAGGCATGGTTTCCAAGACCCTGTGGTTTTTTACAAATATCCCGATGGCCATCTCGGATTAGTAGCATGAGGTGCGGACCCCATAGGGAGGACCCCCCCGCTCAAGACTACTTTCGAGATTCATGTTGCCGCGTGTGAGGAACCCATTGTTTTTGCAGGTACCCCCGTGGCCATGTCCCGATGGCCGTCTCGGATTGTTAGCATGCAGTGCGGGCCGCAGAGGGAAGGAGCTGCCTCGGATTGTTAGTATGGTTAAGTGAGATACGCGCGCACTCAACGGAGGGAGAGGAGGAGAGGAGGGGACGAGAGAGGGACCAGGACAGGGCGATGGTATTTTCATGGCAGCGTGGCGA